TCTATCTATCTATCTATCTATCTATCTATCTATCTATCTATCTATCTATCTATCTATCTTTCTCACCATCTATATATATCTATTTTTTTCCTTCCTCCCGCCTTCCCTTCCCTTCCCTTCCCTTCCCTTCCCTTCCCTTCCCTTCCCTTCCTTTCCTTCCCTTCCTTTCCTTCCTTCCCTTCCTTTTCCTTCCTTTCCCTTCCCTTCCCCCTTCCTTTCCTTTCCTTTCTTCTATCCTTTCCCCTTTCCCTTCCTTTCCTCCCCCTTCCCTCCTCTCAAGTCTCAACCCCGATGCTTCTTTCTTCAACAGGCCAAAGCAGGCAGAAAATCAACAGGCGCTGTAGAATGTCCCAATCCAATTTAACCCCCACCCCACCCCCCACCCCCACCCCAATTCTCCCCACTCCCCCTTTCCACATTAAAAAAAAACACCCGATTCCGCATAGAGCCAAAGGCGCCTGCAGACCAACCCGGGGTAAAATTTCGCCAGTACGGAAGGGCTGCGGGGCCGAAGGGCTCAGCTGGGGTGTCTGGCCTTGGCCGTCCCTGGGGTTTGCCTGGGCTGAGCCATTCCCACGTGGGGCCCCCCCTTGCTGGAAACCCCCTTGCCCGTTTACCCAGAAAAAGAAAAAAAAACCATCTTTCCCTTGTAAATTGGTGCATTTTTTATTTTTTTTAGCAAGACGCGGCAAGGAGCCAGGAGTTTGTGTGTGTGTGTGTGTGCCCCCCAAAAACAGCAGGGTGGGAGTTTCAAAGCGCCCCCCCCCCCAATTCAGGCATCCCTGGTGCCCGCCGGGCCTGGCACGGCCTCCGTTGCGTGGTTGCCCTGCCCTGCTGGGAGGCAGCGATGCCTCCTGGGTGGGTGGCGGCTGACGAAACCGCCTTGAAATCGTCCTTTGGCTTCACCCCGCCCTTTGCCAGCGATGCCCCCCCTCCCTCTCCCGGGGTGGGAGCCGAGAGGAGGAGAGCTGGCAGGGGGGGGGGGGACGCCATGGCAACCCCCCTCCGGGGGCTCTTCCTTCCCCCCCCCCCGTCCTGCCTGAAACCGGAGCCTCCTTTGGCCAGGAGGCCAAACCTCCAAGAGGCGGGGTGCACACAGGCGGGCAGGGTGCCAACCGTGGCTGGCAGTGCCAAGAAGGAAGAAGGTGGTGAACTCTAGACTGGGCGGGGGGGGGGGAAAGATGCTCTGGGCGCTGAAGGTGGAGGCCGAGGGGGAAGGGCAGAGGCCTTGCCCCGGGATTCTCAAGGGCGGGGGAGGGGGGAGAGCTGGTGCCAGTTTGGCCCCTGCCCTGCATGCCACGGGTGGGCGTCTGGAGGCTGGTTTGACCCTTGAGAAGAGGAACCAATCAGCCCTTCCTTCCTTCCTTCCTTCCTCTTCCTTCCCTTTCTCTCTCTCTCCTCCCTCCCTCCCTCCCTCCCTTTCTTCCATCTTTTTGCCTCCCTCCCTCCTTCCGTTCCTTCCTTCCCTTCCTTCCTTCCTTCCTTCCCTCTCTCCCTAATTCTTCCCTCCCTCCCCTTCACCTCTTTCCTTCCTTCTTTCCTTTCTTCCTTTCTATCTCAATACTTTCCTTCCCTCCTCCCTCTCTTCTCTTCTCCTCCAATTCATCCCTCCCTTCCTTCTTTCCTTCCTTCCTTTCTCAATACTTTCCTTCCCTCCTCCCTCTCTCTTCCCTCCCCTTCCAATTCTTCCCTTCCTTCCTTCTTTCCTTCCTTCCTTTCTCAATACTTTCCTTCTCTCCTCCCTCTCTCTTCCCTTCCCCTCTAATTCTTCCCTCCCTTCCCCTTCTTCCTTCCTTCCTTTCTCAATACTTTCCTTCCTTCCCTCCTCTCTCCCCTTCCCCTCTAATTCGTCCATCTCTCCACTTCACTTCCTTCCTTCCTTTCTCAATACTTTCCTCCCCTCCTCCCTCTCTTTTCTCTTCCCCTCTAATTCTTCCCTCCCTCTCCTTCCCTTTCTTCCTTCCTTTTTTCCTTCCTTCCTTCTTCAATTCTTTCCTTCCCTCCTCCCTCCCCTTCCCCTCTAATTCTTCCCTCTCTCCCCTTCCCTTCCTTCC